TGTGTGTTTTGTACTTAATGTTAGTAGTTGTTGAAACTTAATGTGCGTTAGTTTTGTGTTTAAGGTGCGTGAGTTTTTTACTTAAGATGCGTGAGTTTTGTGAGGTGCATGGGTTTGTGTTTAATGTGAGTAGTTGTTGAAATTTAAGTGCGTGAGTTTCCTTCTTAATGTGCGTTGTTTTCTTCCTTAATGTGTGTGATTTGTATGCTTAAAGTGCGTTATGTGAAACTTATAGTGAACCATTTTTAAAACCTTAGGTGTGTGGTGCCTGAGTTTTGTGCGTGAGTTGTGTACTTAAAGTGTGACAAATTAATACTAAGGTGTGTTCCTACGCACAACCGTGTGGGAACTCCTTCCCGCACCTGATCCCTTTCATATATATATATATATATATATATATATATATATATATATATATATATATATATATAAGGTATCAGTAAACCTATAACACCAATTATAATAATATATCATCAAGGTTGTACATAATTGAATATTTATAGATGTACGAGATGAGAATTAAACCTTTAATCGAATATACAATATACAATTAAATAAATGTGATTCTTCTCTAATCGAATATACAATATACAATTAAATAAATGCGATTCTAATTAAAAGAATATTAATTGATTAGCACATGGGTTGGTGAATCTCTCTGGGATTAGTTTAATTTAAGTTTAAGCCATCTTTTGAGCTTAGAGTCTTCTCTCTCCCCTTCCCTCTTGCAAATCATAAGTCGTACCCTAGCAAAATAATTGTTTTCTAGTAGACATGCGATTCTCTCATATAATTACGTTGGAGCTATATATATTTTATTATAGGTCAAGTGGCTTCATTTGAATATTGTCGACAACATGCATGCATGCCGTCACTATTAATTCATCATTTTCACACACTAATTTAATCACCCCAATTTCACATCCGCTTTAATTCTCTTTTCTCTTTTACCATTTTTATAATACATTAAGAATCTCAGCTTACGCTCAATCTTACTTGTACATTCTGTACAGAGGGATTTTCATCTCCTCGATTTGTCCACACTGTCACTGAAAAAAGACATACTTATGATTGATTGGACCAACTAAGCTTAGCCATGTGGGGCCAAAGACCTTGTGGTCAAGCGGCATGAGATGATCCTCTCAAATGTGAGGTCATGGGTTTGAGCCTCAGTGGAGATGATATTGACTCGTTAAGCTTCGATAGGAGTCAGACTTAGTATATATGAACATATACTACATGTAACAAGGTCAATAGTACTAAAAAAAAAAAAAAAAAAAAAAAAAAAACTTAGCCATGTGGGGCTTCTCTTTTAATTTGCCATTTCAATCTTGTGAAAGTGATGCGGCGGAAGCTAGTAGAACATAAACTGGAAATTTCTCTAAACATATAACGACGGATGGAGTGTAATTAAGAGTTTACCGGCCAAACATGTGAGAAATTGATAATTAATTAGTTATATTTAATGTGGATTATTAGGAAATGAAAGCAGCTTATGGTGGAACAATCACTGTCTTAGTTGGTGGGAGGGAAACAAGAGTTTGTGTAGAAGAGAGGTTTAATTAAGTGATAAGTTGACTAATCATGGGATTAATTAGGAAGTTTGATGTTATGTGTTAGATATGTGGGAGGACAAGAATGGCAGTGCCCACTAAGTATTAACTACGGAGATTAACGTCTAGGAGACCATTTTTTGCATGTTTGGAAAACTTTTTTTTTTTTTTTTTGAATGCTATTACATTGTAGTATCTATTCAAAACCAAGACTCGATCCCATGACCTCCCACATGGGAGAGGTCATTACATGCCATCTGAATATAATGTGTTTGGCAAAACTAATCTAATATAAGAAAAATTCTAAAGTGGATGTTCCGTTATCGACCTATCGTGTTGCATTTGATAAAAAACATAGATAGGGATTCTTCAAATGTGCATTTTGATTAAAGCTCACCTTATGATCCTAACATGTAAAGGACCATAAGGAGGTAAACCAGTTTAAGTATTTGACTCATTTAAGTTAAGAAGGTCAAAATTTTCAAAAAAAAAAAGTTAAGAAGGTCAAAAGACAGTTTTTAAGAAAGTCAAATTTGCAATATTGTGGTTACCAAGCAAACTGTATGACCAACTTAATCTAATAATGGTTGTATGATCTCTTAATTGTATTGAATACTATCATGATACCAACATTTAGTAGCGGTGCTGATAGTACCTAGTGTTATATATCATGCTGATAGTATGAAATATAACTGTATTAGGTACAATTAGTACAACACCAACTAGTTTATCAATATGTGTTGATAATATTTAATACAATGAGTTATACCTATGTGTTTGTACTATATATGGTGCCTTAAATAATTAAATTAATAGAGCGTACTTCAATTCGTTGAAATCCTAATTATATTATTTGCATCCCCACTAATATTTCTCCATGTCAATGAAAGCTGGTTTGGTTCATCAACTTGCATTTAATTGGTATTTGTACAATTGTACGTAGTAGAGGGAATGGATTGTCCCCCACAATTGCAGATCCATCTTCGTGACATCTTAGAGACATATCTTGGACTTTCATTGGCCATGGTGCGACTTCTTTTTTTTTTTTTTTTTTTTTTTTTTTTCCTGAGAGCACCATGGTGCAACAACTTAGTATGTGTAGCCTTTCGTCTTTCTCCATCAACTCTGTCTCCCGCCTATAATCTTATTTTAAATCTATTACCGAAATACCAATTGAGAAGTTTGTGCTGATTCCACCTTAACTCTTGATTGATTGTGATCCCATTGCAATTCCATGCACCCTAGCCTCTCTTCCTAGTTCTATCTAGATTATATGTTAAAAAGACATAAATGCATCTGTTAGTGAATTATACTCATTATAATATATAATTGAACACAATATATTAAGTGACTATTATTTCAATCAGATTATTTGATCAAATTTTAACATATATCAAGACCCTTGATGTTGTCAGAAATCAAATTTGTGATTTAGAAGTATAATTTGAAATTTTGTATTGCAATAAAAAATGTGATTACCATAGTTTGAAATTTTGTACTGCAACCCCATGGAAACTTTCAAAATGTTTGAAATATCTAATCATATAACTAAGATTATAAAGCAAAAATTAAATATGGGCCATGGCATGGCAGAATGGCAGTATAATACTATAGTTTTTTTTTTTTTTTTTGGGGAACGAATTTTAAAGTCACAAGCACGTGGTGAGGTGGGCTATAAGTCAAATTAATATAATCAAACCCATCTTCTATATAGCGAAGTAGTACAGATCTTCGCCCAAAATATGTGTCATACTGCATAAACTGACACAATAACGGCTAGAAATTGCGACTACCATCTTTTTATATTGTCGCTAATTCTCCGTCTTATTATAATCTCAATTAACGGTAAGATTTTGAACATAATTTTTGCGTCGTCGTCTGTCGGCGGCCAATCTGTCAGGAAGCTGCCGTGCATGGGCCGCGATCGGCGGCGGCGATGGCGATCATGATGAACCCGTGCCGGCCAGCAGATCGGATGATCGGTCACCTAATTTTCATGTGAAATTTTTTACTGTTTTTTTTCTCGTGAAAAGGCATTTTAGACGTAAGGTGTAACCGCAAGTAGTTATCCACGTACTCGCATTAGCCATCCACCAATACAACATTGTATCTGCCAAGTGCCAACTGTCGATCCAGTAGGAAAGACTAATCATTTCATTTAAAGTTTAGATTTATTAATGATAGTGCAAATTAGATCGGAGGTGGGATTAGTATTTATAAGATTTATGAATATAAATTAAATAGGAAGGACGAATAATTATGTCAAAAAATGCAATAATGTAAAGAGTACTAGTGAACAGAATGCGATATAGTTTATGTCAATACAACATCTTGCAAATTATTTACATGCTGCTTTTAATTGGTAGCCAAGTAGTAGTGTAGAACAATCATTGTTGTGTGGACCATATTTTGTATGTAAAATAATGTATATTCAATACAAAAATAATGTACATTATATTTAGGGGAGATACTTTTTTTTTTTTTTTTTTTTTTTTTTTTTTTTTTTTTTTGTACTGAGCATACGTTATATTGTATATTGTATATTCAGTACATAAAAATGTACATTTAGTATATTAAAAATATATTTTTTTGTTATGATCCACATAACACTGTGTGAATCATAATTTGTCTAAGTAGTACGTAGTGACCGATCAATTACTTTGCGTGTTAATATATCACACAGTTATAATGACAATAATCACGCAAGCATAGGTCGGCTAGTTAATAAAATTCTTGGATTTATCTATACTACTTAACTACTCGCATAAAAAAATATTGTCTACACTTATTAATTCTATATTACTCTATGTTTTTTTTTTTTTTTTTTTTTTTTTAGTTCATTGATATGAAGTTTGATTCTTTCAACAATATAATTGAATATATTATTTGTTAATAATTCAATAGCCTTTACAAGAGAAGAATGTATACAAGGTAACTCTATTTTATTGTGTAATATAATCACTATGCGACAAATTTAACCAAGAAAGTGACATTTTGATAAAAAATAATACTCTATTAACTCAGTTATTTCAGAGCAATAATAATACTTTTTTTTTCTTTAAAATGCTTTAAATTTGATTGTAATTTTAAATAGTATTCTGTCTCATTTTATTTATCATATATATTATTTATTGGTCAAATCAACACTTTTTCTTTATTTGTTTTCATTAGTATTTAATTATAATTTTTAATTTTTTTCTATGTTTAATAGTACTTTTAATGTAATTTCAACATATATAAATTTTACATACTAATTTTAAATTTAATATTATAAAAAATTAAATTATAAATAATCTCAGTCAAATTAATCGAATTGAACACATAAAATACAACGTGGGTGTATTATTTGTAAATTGTTAGGGAGTATAAATAATGTAGTATTAAAATAATAGAAAAAAAATGTGAAAATCTGGTAATGGTCCCCACACTACCAAAAATAAAAAACACTTTCTATAAAATACAAATAAATAGACTGCCATTGTTTGCGTTCCAAAGTCATTTCTATCCTTTTCCGCCTTTTCACATATCGCTCTCTCTTTCATTTCACGCCTTTCTTCAGACCTTTTGCTTTCAATCTCTCTTTGTAGTTTGTATCAAACAACACTGCAGTTTCTGCTTCCCTCTGCCGCAATGGTCGACGTTGACCGGAGAATGGCCGGTCTTAACCCGGCTCACATAGCCGGCCTCCGCCGCCTCTCCGCCCGGGCTGCGGCTAATACCCCTTCTACCCCTGTTCCAGCTCGTAATAGTCTCCTCTCTTTCACCTCACTGGCTGATAAAGTCGTCGCCCACCTTAAGAATTCCGGCGTACGAGTGGAGGTTGGGTTGTCGGACGCTGAATTCGCTCGGGCGGAAGCTGAGTTTGGCTTCTCCTTTCCGCCGGACCTTAAAGCGATCCTCTCCGCCGGTTTGCCGCTCGGGCCTGGATTCCCTGACTGGCGCTCCGCCGGCCCGGCCCGCCTCCAGCTACGAGCTTCCATTGATCTTCCCATCGCCGCTATCTCTTTCCATATTGCCAGGAATGCTCTCTGGTCCAAGTCATGGGGCCCGCGCCCGTCCGAGCCGGAAAAGGCGCTGAAAATCGCTAGGAATGCTCTGAAGAGAGCGCCGCTTCTGATTCCCATTTTTAACCATTGCTACATTCCCTGCAATCCTTCCTTAGCCGGGAACCCTATTTTCTACGTCGACGAGAATTTGCTCTTCTGCTGCGGTTTCGATCTATCGGATTTCTTCGATCGTGAATCCTCCCTGTTCCGTGCTTCCGGCCCTAAGATCCTCTCCAAACAACGCTCAATCAGCGAGAAATCCGCCGGCTCGTCGTCCAATTTCTCGAGGAGGAGCCTCGACGCTCTCGCCGGCGGGCGGACGCCGCGATGGGTGGAGTTCTGGAGCGATGCCGTCGTAGATAAGCGGAGACGGAGCTCCAATTCCTGGTCGTCATCTTCGTCTTCCCCGGAACGCTACTTCGAAATGCCGAGGTCCGAAACGCCCAAGTGGGTGGAAGAGTACATACACAAAATCGGGTCGGCCCTGCGAAAAGGCGGGTGGGGCGAGTCCGACGTTTCCGAGATCCTACACGTGTCCGCGTCCGGATTCTTCGACGGCGAGATGATCCTGCTGGACAATCAAGCGGTTCGCGATGCACTCCTCGTCAAAGCGGATCGGTTCTCGGATTCGCTCCGGAAAGCCGGGTGGAGCTCCGAAGATGTTTCGTACGCATTAGGATTCGATTTCCGGGCAGAGAAAGAGAGAAAGCCGGCCAAAAATTTGACGCCGGAGTTGGTGGAGAGAATCGGAAAATTGGCTGAGTCGGTTTCCCGGTCATCCTCATAACCTTCCGTTTCCCCTACAACGCGCATTTTAACCGGGTACCGGCAAACATCGAGATTCTTTCCTTGCTTGCTGGTTCTTTTAAGCAGATTCTCGAAACATCCGGTTTGCCTTTTAATCCTTTTGGGTAAAACTAGATTTTAGATCAAAAAAAAAAGAAAAAGGAAAAGATAGAATGGTAGAAAAAAAAAAAAAGAAAGAGTTTATGTACTGTGAAAATGACACCAATTACTCAATTAGTAGTATATATACTGTATGAAGAACAAAGAAATCTGTACTCATAAAAGTTATCTGTGTTATAAATTACAGCTAATCTTGTAGATTATGTGATATTTTTTAAGTACTACCAATTCTCTTCTTTTTTTTTTTTTTTTTAATATTACTGATTCTGTTATGAATTCTGTAGTATCTGACTCTGTTACACTGAGACTTAAATGCACAACTTCCTATATGAAGAGTAACTTGATGCCACTAGATTAGAAGGTCATTGACTATTACTGACTCTGTTACTTTTTCACTGGGGCTCAAATTCATGATTTTCATTTGAGAAAGTCCGTCTATGTCACTGGATTACAAAGTCATTAACGTAATATAAAACCAAACACGAAAAAAATTTCATATGGAATGATAAATTAGGTTTCGGTTATGGAATGGGAAATAGCATGCGGTGAGGGTGGTGGGAGTGGGGACAGGGTAATTGCTTCATACATAAGTGAGCGGTGCTGAGAGAGTAATTAAAGGGGAACAACGGATCACTTTTGAAATAAGTATGAAATTGGAGGACTGAAATGCAAATACTCAGACGTTGACGGCGTTATAGTTTCGGCATTCCGGGAGGCGGAGGGATTGAAACTTGAAAGACAGAAAGGGAAAATGTTTTTCCATTCTTTGAGAAGGGCGTGTTTGGAGAAGAGACAAATGAGAAAGAGAGAGATGATAGGGGGAGTTGTATGAATAATGTATTGTCATTCTTTGGAATTTGAAAAGGGTATAAAGACGAGGTGGGGGATAAGATAGGGTAGATATGCTCCACAATGAGAACCTGGTAGTCTGATACCCAAACACTCCCTACTACGTTCAACTTACACAACAACGAGGTGTTACTTCGGTTTCCGGCTTTATTTTGTGCATTTCATACGGAAACCTCAGAACCTTCCTCTACTTCCATGTACGATGTTCATTTTGCACTGGCGTGTATCCAACCTTGTCCTTGTATTTCAAACGTTTTTGTGTATGACATAGATACCTTACAGCGCCATAATTAAGCAAAAGTTTAACTTCTGTATTCAATTGAATTACCATGATTTCACATGAGAGGTCAATAGTCTTATAGTCGAACAACATAACTGTGGCTCCTCATATGAGAGATCTCAAATTTAAACCTCAGTGTGAGGACATTGACTTTTTACTACATTGTAATAGAGTCATACCTTATCACTAGTCTTGCGTCAATATAATTCCATTAAAGTCCTTGCTTCAATATAATTTCACTAACTTAGTAACTCTAACAAACTTGTGTGTTTCTTTACAACAACACACCTCCTACTTGGGCTTGAGCAAATGATTACATGCCCCACTAGTAGTGTATTGTATAAATACAATATACATTATTGACATTTGCCAAGACATGCACATTCCATTTCTCTTCTCGTTTTCATCTTCCCGGGGGATAGCGATGGCGTACAACGGTGCTTAGTAATGGATCGGAGACTTCACGATTTGGTCAACTTTCCATAAATATTAATAAATTAAAAAGCAATAAAGTGGCATATATCACCCCGGGGTATTACGGTCCGGTTGTTACGAGATTTAATTACTACAACCAACTTTAAGCATTGTCCGGTCCGTTTCCTAAATCGTTGCTCATTTCCAAACCGTTGTCAAATGCAAACTATACTAAACACTCCTCCCAAAAGGTTGAATCTCTAATCATAAAAGTTCTAATGTTGGTCCAACATTCCAGTCTGGCCGAGTATTTTTGAGGATGTAAATCCCGGTGACTCACAATGACTCAGTAAACATGGTCAAATGTCGATGCACAGTGTACACAATCTGTCCACTTTGAACATAATTCCCATACTGTCACCGTCAATGTTTGAACATTGGTCTCTTCTCTCAAATATTGAGTAGTTATGCTGTGCATCCGTATGCACCATGCATGGTGCATACGGATGCAAAAACGACGTCGTTTTATTAAAAACACTCGTCTCCCCTTAAAAAAAAAAAATTCAGGTTCGATTCCCAGCAACAGCATTATGTTGTTCATTCATTCTGGAATTTTAGTTCATAGATTATGGAATTTTAGTTCATTGATTCTAGAATTATAGTTCATCGATTCTGGAATTGTAGTTCATCGATTCTGAAATTTTAGTTCATAGATTATGGAATTTTAGTTCATTCATTCTGGAATTTTTAGTTCATATATTAGATTCTGAAATTTTAGTTCATAGATTCTGGAATTATAGTTCATCGGTTCTGAAATTTTAGTTCATATGTTGTTGCTGGGAATCGAACCTGATTTTTTTTAAAAGAGAGACGCGCGTTTTTAATAAAATGACATCGTTTTTGCATCCGTATGCACCATGCATGGTGCATACGGATGCACATCATAATTTGCCTCAAATATTGCCTATTGAACTATTAAGCTAAGCCTCTGCATATACTAAAGACTAGATTTACCTTATATTGTGTATCCCAATCCAAAACAACATTCAAATTATGTAGTTATAGTAAACATATTATGTATCTTCTATTAATAGATAATATATCTATGAATAAATTGAACGTACATAATATATTAACTGTATATATAGAGGTGCAGAACTTATTTATGAGCTTATAACTTATTTTAAACTACTAATAAGCTATAAGCTCTGTTTGGTAATGTTCCCAAAATAAGCTCGTAACTTAAAATACGAGCTTATTTTGGAAGGTAGCATTTCAAAATAAGTTAGTAGCTTCCTAACTTTTTTTTTTTCATCTCTGTCCTTACTATTTTAAAGAAATGACATCTTTTACCTTTCTTAATTAAAACTCTTTTCTCTTCTCCTTTATCCGCAACTTTCACTGCAAATATTATTATTATTATTATTATTATTATTATTATTATTATTATTATTATTATTATTATTATTATTATATGAAAGAGATTCGTAACGATATTGTTACTTCATTTTGAGATGTTAAATCATGATTATGTTAATAGTTTTATTTTAAAATGTTAATTTTTTTAAAGACAAAATGTTAAATTCTAATATGTAAACAAACTAATTTAAATTTTATGAGCATTCAAAAAAAATTTAAATTTTATGAAGATGTCATTTTTTATCTTTTTACATTTATCAACTAATCAAAAAGTTAATTTTATCAAACACTTTCAAACATAACAGCTAGTTTTAACAACTCTTCAGTTTTCAACAACTAACTTATATCTTTTCAACTTTCAGATATATTTTCAAGTAGGTTTACCAAACATAACCACAAGACCGACTTCATCATATACATGATTGGAGCCTGGTCCAAAATATAAGAATTGGTTGTCAAACATAACGGTCTATCCAGTGTGTCTTCCACCATCACCTTCCGAGGAACGGACAATTTGCGACATGGTACGACACGTAGGCCCGGTTCTGGAGCATCCAAGTGCAACATTAATCATGTTTAGTACGATTACTTTTCTGATTTTTGCCCACTTTTATGACCTCATTAACTGTTTACTGTTTAGTTAACGCTGGGTTATTCAACACTTAATCATATATAATTAAGATTTTTGCTTTGCCCTTTTTTTTTTTTTTTTTTTTTTGGCAGTAAGGATTGTAGAGCCTAGGGAACCAAGCATTCTCTTTTTCCATCATTTAATTTTCTTCGGCTATTCTGTCTTCCAACACATAGGTCTTGTTTGGTATGCAATAATTGCGTTTGTTTTTATTTTTATTTTTATTTTTTTATTTAATGTTATGGCATTTCTGAGGAAAAAAAAAACCTATGATTTTGAAGATTTCACCGTTCCTGTACCACTATTAGATCAATTTCATATCTTCTTTTAATAAGAAATGAATCTTATATATAGATAGTTTCATATTACATAGGAATGAAGTTTACTAAGTGCATACTCACGATAATGGTTATGCATTTTCCTCATCACTCAATAAAAACAAAGAGAATTGAATCTACGATTTTATATTAATGTTGGTGTGAACTTGAAAAATTGTACCATAATTATGACTATCTCTGGTTTATTAGTGGAAGATTGCTCAAAATATTTTATAGGATAAATTATCGAAATGATCTCTCACTTATAGTAAATTTAGTATTTTGACCAAACGATTCATATTTTTGTCTAATAATGTTTTTAACTATCAAATTTATACATATTTTAGTTCTTTGTAGATACTATTTCGTTCAAATTTTGAACCATCAACCACGTATTACCTGACTGATAGTGATAGAGTGTTGGTAAAAATCAAATTCATAATCTTTAAAAATGAGATTGCGCTTTACACTCAACCACCCTTTTGGGTAGGTAATTTACTTTATTTTATATTACCAATGGATTTTAATGCCAGCTTTAGTATTCTTTCAACTGTTTTTAAAGTTTACCAAAGGGTAGTCCATGATGAAATGCGTGCCTCTTTTAATTATTTATATTTTTAAAAATTTAACTTCTCATCAATTATAAACTTTTGAATTGCTTTCCACATTCTAATCCACTCTGCAGAAGAAAATAAAAAAGCTGTTTGACAAGGAAATAACTCTTCTTTATTTGTTCTAAAAAGGGAACCCGTTCAAAGCAATAATTAAACAACGAAAACCATAATTTATTTAAATTCCGACAGATTGGAAAAGCGGAGATCGAGATGAGAAACAAAGACAGGAATTGCTTATTATTAAATATTTCCCTTTTTTTTTTTTTTTTATGCTACTTGCTCTATTACAATGTAGTTCATATACTTTGCTCAAATTCATAATCTTTCAAATGGAAGTCCAACCCGGATACCATTAGACCACATAGTCTTGATGATTTTTATTCAAAATACCTGTAATTTAGAGATCTTGACATACCCTCTCTCTCTCTCTCTCTCTCTCTCTCTCTCTCTATATATATATATATATATATATATATATATATATATATATATATATATATATATACCTTATAATTGCATTAATAATTTACTTACAAAATGCCTAAATTTCTAAATTATTTTATGTTTAATTGTAATTTTATGTTTCAAAGACCTTAGCTCAATTAATTGTTTTAAATAAAGTTGGCTATCGAGTTTTAATTTAGACTTTGTTAGAAATGAATGTGAGAATTTCTTTAGA